GGCTGCTGGGAGGGAGAGGCTTCTGAACATGAAGTCATACGGTGAAACCACACGGATATATCACCAGGTCCGACCCATCACCGTGTGTGTGTGTGCGTGTGTGTGTGTGTGTGTGTGTGTGTGTGCTTACCACCCACTTCTAAACACCCCTGCCCCTCCTCTCTGTCTCTGCTCCATCACTGGCCTCAGTCCAACGCTCTCCTACCTCCCTCGGAGATCCTGACCAGGGCTTCTTCTTACCAGCTAACCTCTAATGTTTGTGCTACTTTGCCTCCAGCAGGCTCCCACTGTAAGAAGTGGTTAGCAGGTTATGCTAGCCGAACCGTGTCGAATGTGCTTAAATGGCCCTTGACAACCACAGCGACCTGTTAATGACTGGACCATCCTGTGGTCGTGGTCGCTGAGAACTGGTCAGTTTATGGTCACCCATTAGTGTCTGGTTTGGGCTTCAGAAGCAACTACATTTGCCACTGTAAACTAACAAGAGGAGTACACACCATTAGTGGTGGCTGGGATAATTCTCAGCCGTATCTGCAAGGGTCTTACATTTAACAAAAACATCTGATGTGATCTGTTGCATAAAACTTAAATTAGGACTAGAATGCCGGGAGAGAAACAACAACTCTGTTTTTAAAGTATATGACCCACAGGCAGCTGAATGTGATTGGGGGATCTCACTGCTGCTTATCGCAACCTGCTGCTTGATGAAACTTCATGTGATGCGTTATGAAATTTTATTTTTCATAGAAATTCATTCTCACCGCAGCATCTGTTTCCCTGTGAAGAATTAATATGTGAAATGCCCCGTCCTTCCACAAGCTGCAGTGCATTTAAATCATCATGAATAAAAGTGCAACCTAATAGAAATAACACTGTTTATATATCAAGACTAGGACGACAATGATGCTGGATCTAAGGAGGTGGTTAACAGTCTGTGTCATTTGCTCTTCTGTGCAGCAGGTTTCAGCAAACCAGCGCTCACATGCTCCCTCAGAGGGCTCACCAAGGTGTCCAGGACAGGGATTAAAGAATAATTCATTACAATTTTATTATATGTATGTACGTATATGAGATTGTAGTATGTTACAGGCAGATATGTATATATGACAGGTATGTATAGTAGGTATGGTTGAAATATATATATACAGAAAATACAAGATAATAATGAAATGATAACGCACAAGGTTGTATGACATAGTTTCTCATAATGTCTATATCAAAATGTGAGGAAGTGTAAGGCTCACTTAGCTTTTGTTTTGCTCTGTTTTTACAATATTTTCTGTTTTCTTGTAGATAGAATTCTGTTGGACCTCTTGGTTTCCTTCATATTCATTCCCAAACATGCTTAATGGTTTTAGTTGACCTGTTTCTATCCATGTGATTAGCAAAGACTTTATCGAACTCCACCATTCACACAAAACGTTCACACTGAGCTGATAGATTAAAGCATTACCCACATCATGTTTAGGTGGAGACTAGAATTACCTACAAATTTGATTAAAGTTTTTGTTTTAGGGAATATTATTTTACCTTTCGTTTGACAGTCGTTAGCTTGTTTTCTCCCTGTGTGCGCTCACTGAAATACTAATGATTTATTTTTAACACACACACACACACACACACTCGTATATATAGTTGTTACCAGATCCAAACTGTGCGTCTCAGATCTGTGCGATGTCCACATAACCCAGAAGTGGGGATCCCACTCGTTCTAGGAGCCAGGCGTTGTCACCACAGGAATGCCAGCAATGCCTCCAGTATGGATCGCATTGTGTCAGAGAGGAACTTTGTCAGTGCTGATGTGTGTTTTAGTGGCTGCAGACACCATCAGCAGCGTTTGGGTGGATGTCAGAGTAGACGCAGCACGGAGGTGGAGTTGTTTCTTCAGTACACACACACAGAAACCCTCTCCTGGACTTTGTTTACAGTAAACAGTGCGGAACAATGCTTTCTCAGAGAAACAAATACTTCCCTCCCTGTGTGTTTAGTATTTTTCCTGCTATTAATCATCTACATGCCTCCTTACGAGATAAGATGTCTTTCTATGTGTGTCAGTGTGTCTGCCATCAAGTGGTACACAAACCAGGACAGAAGGCAGCTACCTGCATGCTGTGGGCTTGGCTGCCCGGTAGTGTTGAGTCACCTGGACAACATGATAGGACTGGACTTCTGTGTAAGGTGAGAAGCAGTGACACAGCATTTGATATGGAGAAGGAGAGCACAAGGGAGGGAACAGGTACTCTGAGTCTGTTGGCAGGCTGGCTGTGTGTGTTTGGTAAACACACATTACGTGAGGCAGAGATGGGAGGTGTGAACAAGAGCAATATAGTTGTTCTTGTCCACATCAACATTCCTCTGGATGAGTTGTGTGCGTGGATGTCAGGGCAGCACGATCCCACTGTAGAGTCAGTGGGGAGGATGGGGAGTAACCAGACTGACTGGGTCAGCGCTGGGAGTTTCTTGACTTCTCTCTTTGGGTCGCTAAAGATTTTCGTATTTGTCTTCTGCTTTGGTAACAAGTGTGTAAACATCAGGCCTTTCCTCTGTAAGTCCTGGGAGTGTTTTCTCAGCATTAATATTGTGCCTGCTTACTAATATTGTGTTTATAGAGAGTAATCTGTGTCATCTGAAGGGAGTGCACTGTTCCTAGAGAAGACATTGGCGTTTCCTGTTGCCTCACACACCACTGTCCTGCCCTCCCACGTCCCATCCTGTCCAGTCCTGCCTTGTCTCACGCTGCTCCGGAAGCTTCAGCCCCACCTCGGTTTTGCCAGATTGCTTTGGCGCTACATTGCGTAATGCCAAACTGTCCCTGTGCGTCACTGGGAGCACCCTTCCTATGCACACGAGTGTAAACACACGGAACAGAGTACAAAGTGCCTTCGTACATCGGCCCACTCAGGGGAACTGCCTTTATTTGCAGGGATCATGCTACTGTTAGAGGCTTGTTTGATCATCTCTGTCATTTCATATCCATCAGATAATTGTTCAGTGGGCAACATGTTCTTACAGAGGAAATGCAAAGTTACATGACCTTTTCTTCCTGACTGGCTCCTATTCAGTGTAAAGCTTCATCAAACATTGTGCTTTCAGACGATGTTATCAACTTTATTGTCGTAATGAGTCAGCATAGAACCAACAGCCATTTACACAAGTTGTTTCCTTGTTTTTCTCACTCAAAGAACTTAGAACGCCACATTTATGCTGCATTAATGGCATAGTTTTCACTTCTGCTCTTTGTACTCCACCAGCAGGGTACAGCCAGTGCTCATGTTGTGAAACGACAAATGACCCCTTAACGCAGTGATGAAGTAGAATTCAACCATTTAATGATGCATTATTTGTGAGAGAGCAATGGAGAGTTAAATTACTGACTTTTAAAATAATCAGTGTGCAGGCAGAGAGAGAGGAGACTCCACATGACTGATGCTTCTACCTTATTTCAGCCATAACGTGTTGAAATGGACCCATCTTGATATGTTTGTTGTGTTGAGTGTGACTGTCAGTGTGTGTGGCCTCAGAGTCTCCCTGCACAGCAGCATCACAGATACTGGGAGGACTTGATTCAGGATTGTCAGACCCAGAACAAAAAGCTGGCGGGTCAACAGACTTCCACCATGCACCAGACTTCAAACACCTCTCTTCTTTCCTCGACTCTGTTTTCTCACTGGAAGCCTGATTGAAACAAGTAAACAAACAAGAGGCAGAAATGTAAACCGGACCAAGCCGTATCAAAGACAGCGCCTCTTTCAGTATGCTAATGTCTCGTTCTCACTACGGGAACAGTCAAACATTAACACATTTTATTTGAAGAGAGCTTGAGTTCAGAACTCACTTCTTTGTCATTCAGTGTTGTTGCATGGCTCTCCTGTGGATAAACATATACGGCCACATGTCAGCCACACCATACGAGCCCTCTGCCTAGTGTTATGAACCTCTCGTACGACCAAAACAAGCTTTTCACGGATGGACACAGGAGCTCTGACGTTGGCAGTAGATGTTTGAGAGCTGCAGGTTACAGCCTACGTTGATAACAATGTTTTGGGGGCATCTCACAGACGCTGGATCAGATTGAGATCTGGCATTTTTGGGGTCAATGGCTTTGGCTCTCATTGGTGTTCCTCGAGCCCTTACTGAGCAGTTTTTGCGTTACTGCGAGCCACATTGTGCTGCTGGGGGAGATCGCTGCTGCCATGTGGCGGTTGCTTGGTCTGCAGCAGTGTGGAGGTGGTGGTACTTCCCCATAAATGGCAGGACCCGAGGTTCCCCAGTAAACCGAAAACAAAATGATCAGTGTTATTTACTTCACTTGGCAGCGGTTGTAGTGTTGTCACACTTGATCGTATGGCACAATAGGGGGAGTCAGGCTGTGTGTATGAGTGTGTGTGTGTGTGTGTGTGTGTGTGTGTGTGTATGTGTGTGTATGAGTGTGTGTCTTCATCTGCATGTCACCTGGCACAATAGGGGGAGTCCGGCTTTTAAACCTCTGTATTAATGAAGTACTGCATGTTGTTAGCTTGCCATTTTTAGCATATTTTATTGCTTACGTGTGTGTGTAGGTGTGTGTGTGTGTGTGTGTTGTACACTAACTGGTTTCTCCGTGACAGGTTTCGTTTCCATCTCTGATCATCTGAGCCTTCCATTGTGCATCTGTCCTGTAGGTTTGGAAAGGTCGTGCTTCAACTTCATGTTATGTTCTTCAACTCTACCTAATGGCCTGTTTAACTCACACAGCAAGGAACGCAGGAGGAGCATTTATTCTTTATGCTAGTTTTTAGTGAAAAGCAGAAGGAAAGTTCCCTCGTTATGAAAAATTCAGGAGCCCCAGTCCTGATACTGGCCCACATATAACTGTCTCAATGTGATCAGTCGGTGTTTGACTCAGTGCTGCCTTTTTGTTCCCATGCCAATAATGAAGGGATCTTCCTCTGACTCAAAATACTTCCAACAGGTAGACTTACACCCACACTCCTTTCTGTCTGTCTTTCTCTGTTTTTCAGGGACCACACATAGCATCAGTGACTCTGGCGGCCTATGAATGTGGGTCTGTGGATTTCCCCGAGCCTCCCTATCCGGACCAAATAGTCTGTCCCCAGCAGGAAGCGCCGGCGTCAGGCTCTGATGCCGAACAGCTGGGCGTGGAGGGCGTGCAGGCCGTGGGCACTGACAGGGTGGTGGGGTCGGCAGCCCTCCAGGGAAGCATCACTCTCTGGACGATCATCTCAAAAGTCCGGCTGGAAGCGTGCATGTGGGTGAGTGGCTGTTCCACGCTGGTTTTGGACCTACAGCTGAAGAATGTACAAAATTCTGTGCAGACTGCAGAATCTGCACAGAGCTAAGCTTTTATAAACAGTTCTCACGGCTCGTATTTGGTCCCAGCGTACAGTGACCTTGTGCATTAGTACTTTAAAATATTGTTGCTGTCAGGTGAAAACCTCATATCTCCTCCATTCCAGCTTCTCAGCAACTAAGAGGAGCAGTCCTGTTTTCAGCCTGACCACCATGAATTGTTGGATTCATCCAGTGGGTTTTAAAACAGAGGGTAGCAGAAACATGAACACTACCAAGATGGACGGCTTTCAGAGACCAAGGGCAGGGTCAAGCTGTCCATGAGGTGCACATGTCAGGCTGTGATTCTCTGGGTCAGCATACAGTTTATGAAACAACGTGAAGACTCGTTTATTCAGTCGTTGTTCACGTCCTAATACGAAGAGTTATTTAAATCTCCCAGCTCCCCCTGTGACCATATAACACACTATAAAATACCTCAGTACCGCTGTGGTCACATGTGGCTGTCGATTTCTTTTGTAGTACTCCGCGCCTAAATTCTCCACCTAGAAATGACACAAATGCGCATCAAATGTGTAAATGTATTCAGTGATAATTCATTGAGTCGGAAAACCCCAGCTCCTTGCCGTGAATTTCCCCCAAAAGCAGTGGTTTCACACCTCAAACCAACCCTGTGACTGACACGAAAGATAAAATATTTTCACTCTGTGCTTCTTTTTAGTGCAGGAACAGAAGCATTTTTGTCACTTAATTGTAAAAAAAATATAAAAATAGCTTGTCAAACTTTTACAATGTCAGGGCTACGTTTTGAAGCTTGGACTCAGACAAAGAGCAGCCTGTACTTGGTGCCTAGTGACGCTAAAACCGTGGCTCTGGTGGTTTATCAATGAGTCACACATGTGTCAGAGTTACCATAAAACCACTGACAATGCCTGCTGCTACTGTTGCACACACACATACGGGGCACGTAGCAACACAGGAACAGATATGTGCCCCAGTAATCTGGCAGTCACACTCCATTATCAGCTGTCGTCTTTGCGTGTCCACTTTTATTACCAGTTAACTTTTCGTCACCTAAAGACAGAACTACCAAACATAGAGGAAGGAGAACTTGATCACTGACACACTGTGTGATCGTTCTTTGTTATCTGTTTCCCTGTTCTTCGTAATGTGGAAGGTGCTAAGGCGAGGGGGAAATACACATCCTCTGCTACTTCTTCACTACTGGGAAATTTACAGGAACCACGTAGGCTTTCCACAACCTCCTTTCTACTGTAACTGGCCTTTAGGCTTCCTTATTCTAGTAAGACTTTGACTCTATATATGCGTTCACACACGTACACACATGCTCATTTACAAATGCAAAATTGGGAACATGCACACCAACACATTTGATGCAAACATTCAGGTTTTGATTTATTCGATGACATTCCCTTACACAAATACATGTTTGTGCTTCAATACATTGCTTATTATTGATGATATTTATTAAGTAGCCTCGATTTTAAATGTTTTTTGTAACCTAATACCAAAACATGTACCATAGTAAAATATACTGTGATCCTCAACTTTCAGCGTCACTTTTGTTGTTGTATGAGACAAACTCTGTTCTAATGCACTGTATTTGAATCCCATTTAATATGCATGTGCAGGTACACCATCCTGCACGCAGAATGGCCTGTACGTTTGATTTATCTGTGCAGCATTCTCATTTTTCCTCCTTCAAAATGTGGTCAAATTTCCTCTGAGCCCAGCTACACTCCAGCAACAGCCTCATGCTGTGAGCAGTAATATGGAAGTGTGTGTTTGTGGGTGTGTGTGGGCCACCCAATCACCGCTGGCCCTGTAACCTCAGCCTGGCGTGGCCTCAGCTGAGGCTTGTCAGCTCTACAGTTGGGGACACCTGTTGCGCCCACGGTTTCAAAGCACCCACGCCAACATTTTCCCTCCTCCTGCCAGCCTCCCACCTTCTGGATAGGCTGGTGATGAGACACGAGATATTTCCCTCCTCACAACCACCTTTTCTCCCCTTTCACTTGCCTACTCTCTCTTTGTTGGTTTCCGTTCCCTCTTGAAGCCTCTCTGTCCACTACTGCAGGTGCCTTAAGTGCTCCACTTCAAACACAGCCACTGCGCAGGTGGACGTATTTCATTGCCCCCTGCACAAACACACACAGTCGCATGCTCACAAACAGAAGCAGAGCTGTTGAATGGAGCAGCTGCCAGGGAGATTAAGACACGTCTCCATTATGAGAGAAAGCTGGCAGATTTCATCAAAGACTGCAGTGTTAACAAGAGAACAGGGTGTCCAGATTAAAGATGCAGTCTGCCAGGTTTGGGGATAGCACCGCCTCCGGAGAATGATTGTTTGGGCTTGTTGTCGCTGCCATGGCTGCTAACTACCCACTAATCATCTTCTGGCTCAGCCAGCAACATACAAGTAATGTGCCTGTGATTAGTTAGGGAGATAGACTGAAGCTGTGATTTGTGTGTGTTCCACCAAGACAAGTGAACATCAGTGAAAAAGCTTCACTTTCTTTATTGCTGTCTCTGCATTGCCGGGTGTCAGGGATGCGTTGAGGCTTGAGATCATCCATTTGCTCTCTGTAATTGTAATTTACACTAACTATATCTCCTCATCCCCCCCCCTGCACTCACACTCTCCCCTTGTGCCTGGAAACATTAAAGTAATGAGCTGTGAGCAACTCCAAAAACACTGCATTTCTTGGCGGCTGTTTTCATTGTGTTAATTAAGTCTGTAACCCTCACCCCCTCACTCCCCCATTCTTACCCCGTTCTCATGTTTTGGCGGATGAACTTGGTGAACCGACCGAAGTGCCGAGGATTTATTTCCCTCAAATCACTTCCGCTTTCTTCCTGTTAAGCCCCCCCTCAATCACACAGGCTCCAGCACTTTATGGCTGCAAGCTCCTTTTGGCTGCTGGATATCGATATCTCAGTTCCTCGGACCTCCCTGGACTTGTTAGCACATCTTAAATTTTCACAAAACACAGCATTCCGAATGTCCAAAGCAGACTGGAACAGAACTGTTAGAAATTCAATTTATTGATGTGCTGTTTAGAGGCAGCGCAGGGTTTCTCACCTACCTGAGGCCTGCGCTTAATGTGTCCATGATCGTTTAATAATCTGTGGGATTTTCGTCGTCGTAAATCCTTTCCGTTTTATTCCCATTAAGCACTCTGATCACACGATCCCAGACGTCAAGCAGCACAAGCTCCTTTGGATAGTGGATATTGATATTTTGCTCCATTAACCCTCCAGGCGCCACAGGAACTGTTTCATATGACAAACTAAATATAGCATCTGTACAAGCAAACTACACGAGGTCTCTACATAATTAAAAATGCAATTTAAAGCAATAAAATCACCCGCTGCATTTAATGACTACTGGTACAAGTAATCCCCCCCCGCTCCACATGTTGGTACAGACATGAATGTACACATGGCAGGTGATAGCTTTTATAGAGGAGGTCGTCTTTATAGGCACAATGGGGCAGAAGTCTATGTTGCCCAAACAGTGTATAGGAACACATTACATCGTATGTGTGCTATAAACAGGAACAGCTGAAGAGCAGTGATTCAAACTGTTTGTATATATGTGTGTGTGCGTGTGTGTGTGTGTGTGCTGTGTGTGTGAGCAGGGTGCAGGTACAGCTATCGGAGAGCTTCCTCCCTACTTCATGGCTCGAGCGGCGCGCCTGTCCGGAGCTGAACCCGATGACGAGGACTATCAGAAGTTTGAGGAAATGCTGGACCAGACAGAGTCCGCACAGGTGACACACTGCTGCCTGCATCACCTTCAACCAGTCACCTTCATAAACCCCTTCACGTCCTCCTCCCTCCTTCCCCCGGTTCACTTAACTGTCATCTTTTCTCTTTTGCATTTCTAGGCTTTATCTTTACCCAACTCTTACTTATCTTAACCACACTCTCACTATCATTTCTTTGCCACCAATTGCCTTTCAATATTTTTTGGATTTTTATAAATATGCCACTACAGTCTCCCTCTCACCTGTGTGTGTGTGTGCATGCTTGTTTGCATGCATGGGTGTGTGTGTGTGTGCGTGCATGGGTGTGTGTTGACGCCTGACCAAGCTCCACCATATTGCCTCAACTGCGCAGCGGGAATCAAAAGCTTTCACAACGTTGTGACTAAGAGAACAGCGATGATGCACTTGAGTAAAATGTTCCTGCCATTTCCGGCCCTTCATTTAGAAATCCCCTGTAAAAAAAAAAAATGTTCTCACATCAAACATCCCTGCAGAAGTTTCAACAATGCCTAGCAGCTCATTGTAAATATTTATTTTTCCCCTCTCTTGTGATTATGAATGGAGGAGGAGGAATGAAGGGAAACATGCGTGCGGTTGCGTGAAGGCTTTTCATCAGACCTGTCCGTCCAGCGCTCTTTCTCAGGAATGCTTTCCCTCTCCTCCAAGCGGTGGTCAGACAGTCAGACAGGTCAAGTGCAGTGCAACAACTGCATCCATAAATGGTTTTGAACTTTACAACAGACTCATTTGCTCTCGCGGTGGCAAATAAACTCCGGCCGATTGTGCCCAACTGTTAATCATAAATCCTGCGTTTCTTTTATGAGGGTATTCCAGATATCGGGGGGTTGCTAGGCAGTTGGGAGGAACCTTTGGTTTTGTTTACAGGATGTATTTCACTTTTCAGCACGCGTACATGTTTACTAACAGTTTACTCATAGTTCAGATGTGAATGCTTAATATTTCAGTCACTCCAAAGGAAATAAACGGATTAAATATGTACACTTCTGGCCATAGCGTTCAACATCTGAAATATATGGAACCATGTTTTTGTATGTGTAGAAAATGAGAACCACAACATGACAAGTCCCTTAAAAGGACGAGCTTTTCTTCTGTGTTATGTATTTCCTGTTTGTACTCACCTGTCTGTCCCACACACCTAGATATGCAAAGAGTTCCCTTGTGCTTTAATTTCCTGAAATTAGGTTTTTCATGGTTATTTTAAAATGCTAATTGTTTTCTGTACATTGTCAGTGTAAGTCAAACCACATTCTGGCCCAACAGCATCGTGCACAACAATTAATTAAATAACTACTCACTGCTATTACATAGATCCTTTTGTTTTGAACCAGTGAAAGAATTTGCTGACAGGGTTTCACTTATACATGAGGAGCAAGTTGTTGTTTTGAATCGGGCCGAGTGACTCCGTCGGCATTGGTGATGGTATTAATTAATAAAGTTCCACCTCAACCCTAGATTACAGCGGTGAGTTCTAGTAAAAGAAAATCCTTTTTGTGCTACTTTCCTCGGAATACAACTGTTGACCACATGTATTTCTGCTCCAGATCAGTTGGCGATACCACGGCAGGTGTTTAGCCTTTAGTCGGGTCGCACCGCTGTTACTTCGCCCCAGCAGCAATAGGTGGTCGCAGTTACGTTTTAGCGCTTTACTTCGTGCCTGCCTCGTGTTTTACAGCTGTTCAAATGGAATAAGAAGATTTTTCCAACTATCTACAGTTGCCCTTGAGTCAATAATGAAAGCACCAGAATCACTTGAGTACTCATAATTGATGAATGTGCTCCTGTAGATTTACTGTATCAGTAAAGTTAGCACTGCTGAGCAGGAAACTGCTGCTTTCATTATGAGCGCAGTGCTAGCGTACTCCGACTCCCAGCGCACAAACTGAGATGCTCGTTTGAGACAATAAACGTGAAACGAATGAAAGGAAGTCACAAACTTATGTGGCTGCTTGTTGACAAGACGCAGAGGTGCAGCACCTGCCCTCAGGTCCACTGCAGCTACCGCTGTGGTCAGCTGGGTGGGCTGGCACCAGCATCAGCCCCGGAGTGGAGACCACATGTGGGAGCAGCTCTGACATCACTCACTGATAAAGTGGCCATTCCTACAAAAGAAGAGCAGAGACAGCGGAAGAGCGACACAAAACGGTTGGCGTCGGAAAGACCGGATTCTGTCTACGTGACCGTCTGGGCACCGAGGAGCTCCTGCATGTCCTTCCCCAACAAACCAACAGTGTGACGCAGGAGGAGCATCGCCTGCTTGGTTCGCATCCGTGGAAGGGCAGATTAGAAGTGACGCTGCATGATACTGTCTTAGTGCACAGCCTTGCTCTCTCGCTCTCTCTCTCTCTCTCTCTCTCTCTCTCTCTCCCTCTCCCTCTCTCTCTCTCACATCTTTTCTGCGCCTATGCTTATTCTTTCTCACGAACCCTGTCTCAGACTACATCTCTCTCTCTCCCTCTCTCTTGCTGTCTCATGACATGCAGCGGCTGTGTCTAGATGTATGTAGCGTGTGATTGGACAGCATCTGGAGGCAGGTTGCTTGCACCAGCAGGGACCTGCCACATACGGAAACATTTTTTCTTCCCTCGCCAGGGCTTTTACTGTTGCTCGGATGCTCTCGGGATTCCCTCGTTCGCTCAAGGAGATCCCGCAACACATCTGATTTCTCTCGTCTACCTTTTACTCTTTTCAGGTGGACGGAGGTATTCGTCCGCTGTGAGTTTTTTCAACTGAAGGATGAAAACCTGTAGCAGTAGGACAAAGTGATAGGAGACGCCACTGGGACTGGAACGGAGACACTGTTATGGTTGGATCGCTGTGTGTTAGACAGAAGTGGTTGTCGTCCAGGACGTGACCCCCCGTGAACCTCACACCGCTCCACATACGTACCCAGACTCTTCCCCCCCTTCACCACACACTCACATTCTGTCCACCCTGTGGCAACAGAGCTGGATTCAGATGCTGACTTTGTCCCCCTGCGCTAAAGTCACAGAGGTTTGTAGGTGCCAGCACTTTGACTTAAACCCAGTGGTATTTCTCCCAGCCTGCACGTGCCAACTTCCTGCCACAAGTGCACGTGATGCACAGCAGCAAAGCACTCTGGGTTTTTTTTTCTCATTCATTCAACAGAGCTATTCAAGAATAATGAAGTCATGCCTTTTCTAACGGCTCCAGACGCTGATGTCATGAACATCTTTTTTTTTTTTCCCCTCTTAAATCTAGTGCTCGGTATGAGAGCGCTGTGGAGAGGAATCCTCAGCATTGACATGGGGAGAAGATCCCGCGTGGATGGGTGTCCGTGATTGCTTGTAACTTGATTATGAAGTTATTTCCTGCCGTGTGGTTTTTTTTTTTTTTTTTTTCATCTGGCGCGGAAAGGGTTAACAGGCTGTGAATTCTTGATTGCCAACTCCCAGGATCGTATCTCTTGTAACTCAAATCAGGGCCATCTGCGCTGGGCGTATGCCTGCCTTCCCCCCTGGCCTACTGCACTCAAAGCCTCTCTGTGCTGTGGTTTGCCCAGCCCCGTCACGTGACTTCTCTGAAAGTGCCCCCTCCCTCCTCCTCCCTCTTTATTTCCAGTAAACTGTTTGAAAGGAGGGGGGTGAGTCAGAGTAAAACCAGCTTCCCTTTAACCACAGCTTGTTAAAGAATTTGTCAACGTGGACTCAGGGGTGCATTTGTGTGTGCGTGCATGTGTGTGTGTGTGTGTGTGCTTGTGGACAGATTTGAATGTGTACCTCTTGTTTTTTTTTTTTCTTGAAAGGGGACCGTAGCTTCGATTGCATCAGGAGTCCTTAATCAGTCCACTTCCTGTGCCAGACAGAGCGGGCGCGGGCTTGTCAGGAGTTAATGAGATGAACTTTAGCCGTCTTCGTGTCAGGGGGCTCACGACTGCTCCGGAGATGTGTGTCTTCTGTGTGAAAGACTTTCATTGAGAAAAAAAGAAAACACAGAGAGAGGGAGAGAAAAAATGTGCGTGGGTGTTGACTTGTGTATAGGCTATGCATAGATTTTTCCTTGTCTGACACTTTAATTTTCCACATGGAGCGAAGTGCCTCGACGCTGCCTGCTTTTTGTCTGTTTGAACTCTGTACCTCGTCAGAGCTACCAAATCCTGCTGAAGACAAAGTGTTTGCTTTGTCACACTTCTTCACAATGAAATGTGAGCAACTTGTCAGCAAATCCAAAACAAACACACATCACATCGTGCTGCGCGTTCACTATCATGATTTATTAAAAAAACGAATTATCCTTGCAGCTGATCCTGTTGTGATAAAGCCACGGCGCTGTTAGAATAAAGGAACTATACATGCTTTGCTGTGTCAAGGTCAGAAACACTCACTGTCTTGGGTTTTTCTCTTCAGCTGTCACCTGGAGCCTCAGATAATTAAACTGTCATGTTCATGTAGGGCTATTCCATCCTTAGAAAAGTTTAATGAAGGACATGCTCCTAACCTTGAATTAGTATGTCCTCATTTTTAATTAATCCTCCTGGTGACACACCGGTGCTGGTGATCTTGTGACCAGCTGTTCCTCATGGATTAGTTTACTGTGGTCGGATCAGAACCCATGTGGTACCGGTCTTATGTTTGTGGTGGTCAGCACAGATACTCTACTCAGCAGTCACAGATGCAAACTCAGTGCTTCTTAAAGAGTTAATTTTGACTCATATTGTGTTCATAAACATAACATAACACGACTGGTGAAGGGTGGACTCTGACGTCCAGCTATGATGTGCTTATTCACATGAGAGATGTTCTGGTTATCTTCAGGACCTAATCTACGGCACATCAAACGTGAGTGGCGCTCCACATGAAGGTTGCCTCTATGTGGGGTGAATACTGCTGAGTAAACCATCTGTGCTGAGCAGCCAGACCTGGAACCAAACCTCCATCGTTTTATGACGCTGTACCCTTGACAAGATCTCACCAAATGTAATTGCCGCTAAGCCCAGCCCTACAGGACGGCGGTGACGGGGGTGGTGTGTGGGGGGTGTGGGGGGTGGCGGCAGGCAGTCCTTGGCAAACTGCCTGGCAAAGATGGTGATTTTCCATAAGCTGCCAACAACAGAGTCTGGATGTCTGAACCCCAGCCATCCAAGATAGATGCTTCCCTGGTCCAGAAATGCAGAATAGAGATAGAATCCAAGTACATAGTTCAGCTATAGTAAATCACAGTGTCACAAGTTCACACACACACACACACACACACACACACACACACACACACCCTCCCTCACCTCCTCAGGGACCCTTTGTTCACACTGCGGTGATATTTTCATGCTCTCTCGCTGCATGAGCCAAAAGCTCAGCGACGGCACCTCGTGTAAACAATGCATGGTTCATGACGTCAGGGAGTGAATGAGATCCACAGGCCTGGTGTGCGCCACTGATTGGTTGTGCAGGATTCAGTTGTCAGGTGTCCCTGGTCCAGACACGGTCCTCAGCGGTTCAGCTGTAAACCAACCATACACATTCCTTCCCTCCCTGTCTCCCACCAGCTGAGCAGCTTACACACTCCCACACACACACACTCCCACACACACACACACACACACATATGTGCACACACAGGGACAGGCTAGAATTAAAACTACAGGGTTGTCCAAGGAGAAACCTTCATGATTGGACATCGGTGGAGGCAGAAATTCAAATGGCGAACCAATCAGATTGTGTGTCCCTTCGCTCCCCCCACCACCTTATTAGGCGACCTCCCATGTCTCTCAGATTTCCTGTCCGCTGGGCTGCACCCCGTAAAGCATGTCATCGGCACTGTACTGGTTTTTGTTGACCATATTAGGTATGATCGTGTATTGCCAGCCCACCCCCCCACACCTCATTTCAACAAATATGTTTTAGAAACGGAGGCCTTACTTTTTAAAAGAAAACCTGTTTTTCTTTTTCAAATGTGTTTTTTTCCCCCATTTTTTTTATTGTTATGTGAGAGAAAAAAAATGTGCTTTCAGTGGGAAACTCTGCTCCACATACAGCAAACATTCACCCAAAGTATTTAAACTGGAAATAATGAAACACTGATTAGTTGATTTTATAATTGTAAAATGCAGCAGATGCATTTTGGAAACATTTGGTGGCATTGAAACCATCAGAAAACATGAGAAAAACTGTTTGAATTAGGAAAAAGGCTGAATTTTATAATTGTCTTAAAAGCAAAGTTGTCTTTAAAACAAAGATTATGTTTAAAAATGAGTGTCTCCATCACTTTAGAACAAAAACCTTCATGTCCTCTTCATTAAGACACATATCTGCTGCTTATAATTAAATTATATCAGAATCAGAAGCAGATTTATTGCCAGGTATAGTTTGCACAATACGAGGAATTTGTTCTGGTGGGTTGGTGCAACAATAAATATATTATAAGCCTGTGTTTTTGCATGCAGATATTTTTTTATTACAATTGTGAAATCAGTTAAAGTTCATATTGAAGGACGGATCTGTATAATTTCTCACATTATAACATATATATTTATATATGACACAGCAACAGACAAGTTAAAGGACTGAAATGCTCCATTTTTTTAGTACAGGATATATTATTCATGCCTTTGAGGCTTTTTTCTGCAAAATAATTATTTCCGTCCCTATCAGACAGAAGCTCCCTGAAAAACTCAAATGTCCTTACCAGTATCACATAATTGCTGTAAAATATTTAGACCTTACTATTTCTAAAAGATGCAGTTTTACCCAAATAAATCAAGCATTTTTACAAACAAATAATATTCTCATTGCTTTTCATCCTAGAAGTGCAGCAGCTTCAAGAGAAGCTCAGAAAAGTGTAGAAGTGAAAATAAAGAATTAAGGCGGCTGTACAGTTTCTCATTTTCTGCTGCAAACAGCTCAAATTATTAACATACAAAGACCTAGAACTTTTAGACAGAAAAAATAATATGCTTAGTACTTTATAATTATTATTATTAGTGTAAGAATCTCAATTTCTTTGATAGAATAATTTAAATGTAACTCAGGCAAGTCTAGCATGAATGAAAGTAATAATTTAGAATTACCTACACATTGAAAGGCTCATTCACAAATGGTCCTGCATCAGGGGCTTCCTCTGGATTCACACAGTGTTCCCAGAAGTGTTTAGAATAAAATCCAAAAAAGATTAAAGCTGCTGTTCCCAGAAAAGGTATATTGAGGGAAAATCTCTGTCATTGCTGTGAAAAGAGGCTTTTGTGAAGCTGTCAAGAAGGATAGGGCAAGACCAGCAGAAAGCTCTGAACCTGTGACTCACTGGAATGACCAAAGTCTGTTGTCTTGTTCTCGCATTCCCAGTGACACAGGAATTAATATGTGGCACAAGAAGTATGATAAAAACATGTTAAAACTAGTTTAATACGCCACAAGAATAAACACTTATGTTTGGAGAGGAGACTTGTGATTGTTTTAGAACATGTAACAGGTGGACCTGACTCTGGACTTCTACATATTTCTGTTTGCTCCTGAATTTAGCACAAGAAATTGTTCAACCTTGAAATCTGCATTTTTTAATCAAGCATTAAAATAAATATATTTCCAGTCTGAGAAGTTGTTTATTAGTAGAAGAGTTGTTGTTTCTGTGCTGAACACACAACCAGAGCTCCTCATCACTCACACTTTCACATTTATTCTGCTGACTGTGGATAAAGTTGAATTACAGCCATGCACTTATTTTTGACAAATACATGTTCAAGTGTTGATTTTTAGAGTTTTTTATCATTTAGGATGAAGTACCTAAAGTTGGGAGAGTTTAGAAACAGAACCTGTGTGATTCAGTGAGAGAATCTCCCTCTGATGCACAATACATTAAAATATAAGTACAGTTAGGTTCTAGACAGTCCACTGAGCTGTACAGCTCATTTTTCAGCTCTAATTATTTTACTTGTCAGTTGTTATCTTGTGTAATAATTGATTAAAGTTTTTTTTTTTCTCCACAAAACATTTACAGGAGGTGGAAATTCTCCAGCTGCAGCTGCTGCTCCTTTGTTCTCATTTAGAAACAAGCAGAGATAAAAATAATCAGGTCCTTCGCAGATTTTTCGTTTCATGTTGACAAAAATGTGTTTTTAGATATAAAAAGGAAAGTTTTATTGTCAGTATACGGACAGTAAATTGCAAACAAGATGAAATGCCTAACACAGAAATCCTGTGAGCGGATCTCTGACTCTAAGATATATTTTTCTAAATTAAGTTATTCTAAAATCTTCATTTTTTTTCTATGTGACATTTGAATAAGTTTTAAAGCCTTCATTAAAATAACTTCAAAGCACAACAGTTATCTGACTACACACATTTATTTCATACAAATCTGGTTTTCCCTCTTCCATATAAATGCTTAAAAAAACTATGAAAACCATTTTTTTCTAACTAAATAATTCAGCAGCTCATTTAATTATGAAACTAATTTAGTGATCAATCTGAAATGTACCAGAAATTAAAAGTGAATAATTTGCCATGTGAAGTGTACATCATTAATAATCATTTTAAACAGTTCAACACTATCAGAATGTGTCTGGTGTTATACAGACAGTGTGATATGGATATAATAGAAACTCCACAATGATAATTAGAAGAATATTATTCTGCTGTTTGGAAAAAAATAAAATAAAATCTGTAAAGCAAATTTGAAATTTGTCCTGTAAATAAAACATTCAGTACACAAGCAGTATGTGATCAGTAAGCATCAATAAGAACAGTTTACTTACATCTTCTCGCTGTTTTGTCCTTATTTCCAGGACTTTGCATCTCGAGCTAAAGCAGCAGTGCAGAAGCTCATCCAGAGGGTCGGCTTCTTTGGGATTCTAGCCTGTGCCTCTGTGAGTCAATCACACACACTTTTTTTTTTAATTTTTATTTTTTTTAAACAGAAAACATTTTGTGCACCTTGGTTTTATATTTCTAATTAATTTTGTTGACAGCTGGAGCAGCAACCTGTGGAATAAAGAATTCTAAAATAGACTTTTGCAGATATCAGATGTTCTCATGGCAAAGTCAGCTGGTTCCCCTGTAGGATGTAAAAAATACTAAATGAGCTTTAATTAATTTAGTGTATGGCTTGTGTTTAGTTTTTCTTGGGGTGGATTGACACAGTGTGAATTCTCTAATCATCTGTTTGATTTATTCCTAGATTCCAAATCCCCTCTTTGACCTGGCAGGAATAACATGTGGACACTTTTTGGTCCCGTTCTGGACTTTTTTTGGTGCGACGCTCATCGGGAAAGCCGTCATCAAGATGCACATTCAGGTGAGCCGCTGTTAAAGAACCTTCTTCTGTGTTGGCTTTATTATTTCAACCCTTTATCAAAAGAGTCCATAACAGTGCAGCTGATTCTTAAACATGTCAGGGAGCAGCTTTACAACATCTGACATCTTCTTGTTGTCTTTTCTGTTTAATGCTATAGGGTGCCATTTATATATATTTGTTCCAAAGTTTACTCATGACTGCGTCTTCAGTGTTGCTCAGAGGGGGGAAAGTTTTCAATAATAAATCACAGTCATGCACAGCGTCTCTGCACTGCAGTCAGCTGGCAGTAAGGAGGCCATTTTGTGCAGCACAAGTAGGGGGAGTCAACCATTTTGTGATGGCAGCTGCAGCAGCCCCAGTACAGTCTCCAGCAGTACAGTGTACAGTAGGCTGGCCGGGCTGCAGCAGATAGAGGAGAACCTACAGAGAAGCTAAAGCTGCGTCCTAAACCTGCACCAGGAACCTGCAGTAAGGAGACTTGGCATCACAGATGTTTGTTCTAATCCTGGAAAATCCTCAATTTGCGTCCAGGAATTTGCAGTGTATCTGTGATTACCGTCAAGGGCTCGACTTTTTGTTTTCTAAGCAAATGCAGGAATTTGTGCCACAGAGGAAGGAGGGGGGAGGGCGGGGGGTTAAAAGCTGTCCTCTTCTGTATCATAAAGCATTGTCCTGCAGCAAACACACAGAAGACGTGTGAAGCTAGCGAGCTGGAGCTGAAGCAGATAAACACCGTCCTGCGGGAGGTGGTGGTGGAGAAAGCAAGGGGGACAGATCGGGGGAGGCAGGGGGGGCGCAGCGTGGCCGCCACAATCACACACACAGGCCCAGAGTACAGCCAGGGGTCCCAGGGGCCCCACCGGCAGAGGTGTGTCCCCCTCCGTGTCACGGAAAGAAAGACCTCACCCGGCTCTCCGGCGTGTCAGGGGGCCCCAATCTCTCCTGTAGCTGCTCGGTTTAATTTTCCTCAAGCTCCAGTTTCGCTTCTGATGCCGATGGTTCAGTAGTTCAGAGTGTGTGAGCAGAAAACAAGAAGCACACTGGAGGAGAGCAGGTGACGTTCTCCCTCATGGGCCAAGAGGGAACAAATGGGGATTTCGAGGCTTGTGTTGTGTGTGTGTGTGGGCGTGAAAATGTGCTCAGTGCTTCAAAGCGTGGTTTTGATCCGGCTCTGTACCTGTGCTTCAGGTGTGTCCTCACTGCTCTCCAGGGAGAAGGGTTTTCACTCTGCACCGCTTCTGCCATTTAGCGCTCATTAGACTTGTGAGGATCACAGGTGCTGTCAGGGGAGGCCGCTGCTGGAGAGGCGTTGTCAGGTGGAGGACGGTAGATGTTCCTGTAGCAGAAGGTCAATGAGAGGCTTGTTCCTGTTGCAGCGTTTTAATGTGGCAGAGCTGCAAAACGTTCTCAGATTGCGTCACTGACCTCGATGTCTAGTCGTCATTTTCTGTAAACTGCTGAGAACTGAGGGAACACTTTCCCCTTTTCAGTGTCTGACGGGTTATGACTCTTATCAGCATTAGCAGTGAGCAGAAATCAGCAAGTCATGAGCGTGTCACAACTTCCACACATGAAGAGCATCTTAGTCAACGCCTGTTGCCCTCCTGCCCCTGCCCCTGCCCCGTCGCTTCACGTGGGGCGACAGAGCAGTGAGGAGGTTTACTGCCTCCACTGTTTGTTTTCTGAGAGGCACAAAAATCACATGACAGCAAATGTCAGTCTTTTTTTAATGTAGTAAACACCAGTTACAAGTTTAGTTACTCCTGTGACATTTTGAGCTGCGAGTCTCTCATTCAGGCCGCAGTGACATTCTGAGTAACGCAGATTAAAGGACAAGCAGATGACAATACATGGATGCTGCAGAGCCGTACGCTGTCACCTGGAGTTAGACCTGTACCCGGGGCGTCCTGCTGCTGAAGTGTCAGGTTTATTTCTGTCCACTTACACTGGACTATCTATAGTTTTTATTTAAATACTACAATTCCACTGCCTTTAAATGCTCTCCTCTATCAGGCCAGTTTTTAACTTTAAATCTATAAACCTAAGTAGTGAGCAGCAGGTCTCGGTGTTGGTCCCGACCCGTCCCGCAGGACTTTAAATCCCTTTGATTGGCCCTGCTGCAGAATCACTGTGAAAATATTCTGTTTAGCATGACAGGATTGTGACCTACATCCGATTTTTAAGCTGCCGTATAAACGCCCGGATTAAAGCTACACATTTAAAACACTCGCGTCCAAGACTTTTATGTCTCCATCATTACATAAAATGGAAAATTCTAGATGTCTCATTTAACCTTTTTCCCCTTTCCCTGTAATTCGACAGTACATATTTAGTATCTTGGGATCTGGACTAGAATTTAAAATAAGTTTTTGTGGGTTTGAACGGGGCCTGCAGACGCTCTTTAGCCTTTCTAATGGCAACAACCTGCATGTGACTGGGTCAAGGCACATTTTAGTAGTCCAAAAAAATAAATGTTTGTTTATCAGAATGCTGTAACCTACAACAAAGGGCAGGAAAGGCACTTCAAAAATGCAGTTAATGAGCCTCTGCGTGTTTACCCGCATCACCAGGCCGGAGGACGAGGAGCTGATATGAGCCAGAATAGCTGCCAGTCGCCGTTTGGTGGTGACTCAGCAGGAATCAGACCGGACAGGAGCCGGCCTGAGACCCCTCTGAAGCAGTGACACATTTCCTTTGATTCCTGCATCTCTGGCCTTGAAGCACAGACACACACACACTTGCTCTTTAGAGCCATTATGATATGCTGAGCTGTTACACTGTGCTGGTGGTGTGTCACAGAGCCCAGGCCTTTTATTTCTGGCCCTCTATGACAAAATGTCTGACCCTTCATGGCCGCTTTTAGACCAAACCACCCTGGTCATGCAAGACACGGGCTTGGGCATAATGAGTAGGGTGTGTGTGTGTGTGTGTGTGTGAAGAGGAGCTAAGAAATGCCTGGTCACACCATGATGATGCACGTACTGCCTTGTTCATCGGCCCAGCAGTGACCTCATGGTTCAATAACCGACTCGTTCTTTCTCTTTGTCATACAGAAACTGTTTGTGATCGTCACCTTCAGCAGGCACATCGTGGAGCAGATGGTCTCCCTCATCGGGTGAGTAAACCTCATAGTGTGTGTGTGTGCTTGTGTGTGCTTGTGTGTGTTTGCTCAACAAAAGTGCCCTGTGCGTTGTGCGGCGACCACACGTGAAGGAGTTAAAGCAGAACTTTCCAGTTGAGGAGCCTTTTTTGGTGGTCGTGGGGCATTCAGGTGATTCAGCTGTGTGAACTTGGCCTCCTCCTCCTCTTCCTCCTCCTCCTCCTCTTCATGACCTGCTAAAGGTCGTGGACTCTGAGTTGTACATGGTGATTTTGGAAGATGGCTTTTTGCTGTATTGTGTTTGAGATCCTTTGTGCAGACCTTGAATCGGACCTTTTGTCACACTTCGCTCTGACTCCTCACTCCGCTGTGATCGTCTGCTCGGTGATTAATGGCTGGGATTTTTCCACTGGATGACTATGGGCATGAACATGTTCTGGCTGCTTCACAGGACACGATGAACTCTAGTCTGTCACAGAACGTCAGGTATTACCTACGTACCTGATCTCACAGTCGGCGCAAGCCAAGAGAAAGGCCTGCCTCTGTGTGTCCAGAGGGGGACTGCTATGAAACAACCGTCTATCTTTTCTGATAAAATGAGGCCTTTCAGGTTTCAGGCGTCCAGTGTTTATTAGTCTAGAACCTCTAGGGAGGAAAGAAACATCACATTTGAGCTTCCAGTGAGACAGCTTTCACAGAGGACATGTATTTGTGTTTGTGTAGGTCAAGGTGTAGTATTTTATACACGGACTGCATAAAATAGTTCTGCAGGTAAAATGCAAAACAAAGTCACACCTACAGCCTGTGGGCCCTCTGACAGTAAGGACGAGATGTGATAGTGGTTGAAAGGGTGTGGGTGGTGCTGGGTGCTGGTGGGTGCTGGTGGGCATCATGAGGGGCGCCATGTGGGGCGTCCCCCCGTAGAGATGCCAGGGCCTGCAGCTGGAACCTGTCCTGGACACACCTGCTGCTGGGAGTGCCATTTATTACATATACACACTGAGAGATATTTATACTGTCCTCTTCTCTTGGTCTCTCTCTCACACACACACACTCACACACACACACACACACTCACACACTCTCACACACACTCGCTGTGCTGAAATCAGGAGACCAGGTTGCATCAGCTCTCGTTTTTAAGTGCAGCCGATTTGTTTCTAAAACGAGTTTAAAATATCTCAGTTCAGGACTTTTTTTTTTTAATTTAAAAAGAAAGCTGTGGTTGTTGTTTTCTTCGTATTTGTAGTTTTAATTTTTACCAGCAGCACTTTAATCCTGTTGCATAAAATATTGTTCAAACGAGATGTGGACGGTGAGCTTCGTTAGCACAAGTTCAGTCAGAAATATTTTTGGATTCTGCATGTGTGTGTGTGTGTGTGTGTGTGTGTGTAAATCAACAGTTAATTTATTTCACATTATCAAATTACAATCACGATTTAAAACAGTGCAATTAGCAACGGGCACATGCCAAATATCAGGATACACGAGGTGCAGCTATTGAGCGACGACACTGATGCTGTGATTCAGTTTTATTTAATTTGAGGAGATTAAAACTTTCAGGAGTTGCATTGATCAGTGATTTGTCTGACACGAGCCCAGCCTCATTATTTAATAGGAACACACTGTGCAGCACCAATGAACCAGAGTTTAAACTGTTGTGTCAATAGTTTTACAAATTAGTTGTGTGACAGTCAGTGGATATTAAACTGAAGCTGAACTTTTAAAAAATGACTAGCAAATTAAATATATATCTGTGTGTGTGTGTGTGTGTGTGTGTGTTGTGAAAGAGCTGTGTGCCGTCTTGCAGTCACTGTTCATTGAGCTGCAGACTCAGAGTGGCAGATCATTGGTTATTGACAGGTTTCGCTCTGACTCACAGCCCGCTTCAGCTTCTCTAAAGGAAGTTTCCCTCCTTACAACTCTTCAACCGTCAGCTTCCTTCCTCGCTGAGGCCTTCCACCTTCCCTCTGATTTCTGTGCAGCTCTCACTCTCACTCTCAATCACACATCACCTTATGAATGGGTGACAGCGTTTTTTTTTTTTTACTTTAACCCCTGACAGACCACGGCGTTAACTGTGCAGGGGCTTGAAAATGAAGTGACACCTTTACACTCCGTCACCTGCGGCTCCCCCCACCCACTGCCAACCTGCCCACCAGCCTAAAGCAGAAACTCGCATGCATCTCTGTGCGCAATCCAACCAACACTCTCTTTTTAGCAACTGAAACAATACTTTTCTTCACACCTCAGCCACACTTTTTCCAAATTTTACCTCGAGCTGATTGACAGAAATCTGGAAATTGTACAGAAACATTTTCAACCCGGGGTAATGTTAGAACTGCAGCAAAACCTGATTATTTATTTTTTTAAATTGTAATTGTAATTGTTAACCTTATGGAAACTATTTTCAGTAAAATTCTGGTGTGTTGGTTTTACACAAAGATTCCTAAAACTGTAGTTTGGAGCCACGTCTGTCTAAAAAGTTTTTAAAAATATTTTAACTCATAATTCATTTAGTTTTTTTCATAACACATGAGCTTTTTGTTATCTGAAACATTTCATTCACTTGCTGTAAATGTAATTTATTTCTTTGCTTCTATATTAACACTAAACGTTCATAATTAATTGTTTAGATAAATGGTGGGATTGTAGTTTTTTAGGTTTCGTTTCTGTTTGCTCGGACGCTGTTTGTGCCCGCAGGGGGATGAAGTGACTCCTGGACTTTGGTCTCGCTGATTTCATTCTCACGTGACATAATATAATACTACACAATTCATTTCCTTGTGCTGTTGGGTGAACACACAGCAGACTTTAACCTCCTTGTCTGTGGTGCCCTCAACTAATTTCAATTCACACACACTGAAACTTAAAAATCCCTCTACATTTATCTTGAGCACTTTGTTTTCTTATTTTTTAATAAGTTATTTATCTTATATTTCTACTCTAAGCTGCTTGTATAATTATTTCTAATCAAGCTGAGGGACAGAATAAACAGGAACATTTTTCAGTTTATCAGAAAAAGTTTATTCTGGACTCACCAAGTGAATTCTCTTTCATAGGAGCTGGAATTTTTGAAAAAACCTTAAGTTTCAGTACAACAACACAACACCTGGCCTCTGTCTCTGTCTGGCACAAATCATTCTGAGCCCTCTGCTCTGTAAAATTATTGTTTTTGCACTGTTTTAAATTTGCACATTTTGTACAGTTAGTTTATTTTATTTATTTATTTATTTTAATAGTATTTAACTTTCTTGTTGTGATTTGGTGTTTTTCTTTTTTGCTGATGTATCGCAATAATTTCACAGATCTGGGAAAAATAAAGTATTTCTATTCTATTGTGTGTGTGTGTGTTTGTGTGTGTGTGTGTGTGTGTGTGTGTGTGTGTGTGTGTGTGTGTGTGTGTGTGTGTGTGATATTAGTGTGATTATCTACATGTAAAACCTACAGTACAGCAGCATATTTAGCTTCATTCTTTATTTGGTTCATGTTCCTGCATCAGTCTAATTTATTCCCACAAATTCATCTCAAAGTTTCATTAAGAAAATAGCTTTTTTTGTCTCATGGTGCTACTTGAAAGATGTTTTTATTCTGTTTTTATAAAGATTTTTCATATTTATGTGGCATCAGAGTCGTACTCTTGCTTACACATTTTTTATTTTTATTTTTTAAGTAATCTTTTTTCCAGATATGATCACTCATCCACAGTTTGAATGAGGGAAGCAGTTTTTCTCTGAATGACAAATGGACAACACAGCATTACTGACATTCAGTCTGATAGAGAGGTTTGGAGGCTCTAAAACTGCCAGCAGATATTTTCATCACCTCTCTTAACACAAGTGACCAACTCCTGGCTTGTTTTAGTTTGTTTTTTTTAACCCGTTGGAAATATAATGTTCAGAATATGCAAAGCAGCTCTTCAGTGACTTAACATTTCCATCAGACATCTTTCTGATGCTCATTTTGAGAGCCAGACCCAAAGAAAAGGAGTTTCAGTGGAAAAACAAGGTTTGTCCTCTCGCAGTTGTTCAGTCACAAAAAAAGTGTTCCCCCTTGTCAACTGTTTTTCTAATTACTGTCTGTTGTCAGACATTTCAGACTTGATGTATTACTACTGCATGTGTACCGTGGAAACAGATCTGTGTGTCTCAGGCAGATGGTTTTCAGTCTTCTCCTGCCGTGCAGAGCATTTAGGGCTGAATCTGTAGCCTTCTGTCAGCAGTATTAGGATAATAATAAAGATAGTTTTTCTTTGAACTGCCACTAAGTCACAATAAAACCCTCCCAGAATGCCTTTTGGGCTGATAACCGGGGCTGATAAGCAGGTCGGATGGAGCTGCTGCTGCTGATCAGACTTGTTGGGTTTCTCTGCGTCCTGTGACTAATGTACAGATGTCTCTTCTTGAAGATCAGCCGTGCGTGTACAGTCATTGTTTAAGAAAATGCTGCACACTCACACTGAGCGAGGCTTTGATCAAGATCTGAGGCAGTTATATGTCAAGACATCTCACGTTGTTTGCTTAAAAGTATTCGTTTTCAAAAAAAAAAAATCCCACCTGTAGTCACATAACCCCACACAGGCTGCACTTTTCTTTTTCTTTTTTTTTTTCTTTTTTAACAGATCTTAAATTTGTAGATTTAAAAAAAAAAAAAAAAGTTTTATATTTTATGCACTTGAAAAAGGCCTAAAAGTTCTCATAGATAGTTATGAGCACTGTTCTGCCTTTTCTTACTGCATGGGAATTTCCTTGAATTTTTCAAGAACAGATCATTTTAATGTAACCTGCTGCTGCTGAGGTGGATAACCTCATAAGAACTTCAGAGAATTGCCCTGCTGCTATGCTTCATATAACTCCAGGGCAGCACATTTATCTGTTCTGTGCCCAATCCTCCCTGTCCTCCTTCCTCTTATCTCAGCTGGGGCTTGGTCAGCCGGTGAGGTGGTGATCTACAGCAGGAAAAGCTCAGAATCACCCGGTGCATGCAGTAATGGAACAGGGAGCTTTCCTGTGTTT